AAGCTTCCTCCTCCTCCTCCGTCTCAGTGTTGCCCCATGTAGAACTAGGCAGGGAGGAGATGGGGACAGAACTAGAATTAGTTGGCTCTGCTTTTTGTTGCCTCTGGCTCCGCCCACTGCTTGGGCACTCTGCCTTCTGCCCTATCAGCCCCAAATGAGCACTAGTCTTCAAAGACTCCTTTAACACAGTTAATTTAAAGGAATTAACACTGATATGAGGTGTGTGGGTGGCCAGCCCCTTGATTTTTAAAAAGAGGACTTAACCCAGTCCTCTGTTAAATTTGTTGATCAATATTTTTTAGCCATGCTGGCTAAAAGGAGCCTGTGCAGACAGATGGTGGGGACAGATGACCAGGGAGGGCCGGCTGGCTTAATGCCTTCTTGGGAGGTTTGCAGAGGTCTTTAGCTGGTTCTTTTCAGAAGGCAGATGCTAAACAGGATGGATCCATTGACATGACTAGGCAGTCCACCTGGTTCTCAGGAAAGGAATTGATAAAATTAACTGCCTGCCTACAGCATTTAACAGAGCTAGTTAGGTGCGGTGCCTCCAAGCTCAGGGACAGTCTACCTCTGAGATGCCGAGAAGCTCAATTCAAGCTGCTGGTGTTTAACCTTTTTATAGGCCTAGTAGGCCAGGGGATAGCTGACCTTTAGATCCTGCTGGACTACAACTCCCATTACCCATGAGAATTAGCCCTGACAGCTTGGGGGCTGATGGTGTTGTAGCGATGACCACCAACTAGGATGGTTTTAAAACAGAATTGCCGATTTGTGGAAGATATGGCTAATAGCTGCTAGCCACAATGGCAGTATTCTCCCTGCACTGTTAGAGGCAGTAATGACTCTAAATACCAGTTGCTGGGATTCATAAGTGGGGAAAGTCACTGATGCTCTCAGGTCCTACTTTCTGGCTTCCCATTGGGGCATTTGTCAGCCACTGTGAGAACAGGATGCTGGACTAGATGGTTCCCACCCCTTTTGGCCTGATCCAGCAAGGCTCGTCTTATGCTCTTACTATTTTAGGCGGTTGATTTTTAAAAAGTAGCTGTTTTTAAGAGGTTGGTGGGGGTCGTGGGGGGGGGGCTATCTGGAAAGCTAAATGGTGGCATATTTCTTTGTCTCCAGTTGCCCCGGGACAAAATCTAAGCAGAATGGATCGTATTGACATCTAAACAAAAAGTTTTATGCAGCCCCAGCAAGGTGATGAGCCAAGGAATATGAGAACCAAAAAGCAAATCTGTGAGGTGACATCTTCAGAAGAAATAGATAGAGCCCTGTCTGAGGCTTCGGAAGAGGCCTCAGACACTGACATGACCAAAGGCAATATAACCCCCCCCCCCCCGCGCCTCAAAGGACAGTAGCTGCCACAATGGAAGAGGACAGAGACTCAGATGAGTACATTAACAAAATAAGGCGAGGACTGGTCTTGGACTGGGGAGCAGCCCTAGCTATTTGAGCAGAAATTTGATGTGCTATCTTATCAACTGTCATATATTTCTAAAACAACAAATGATGCACACAATCTTGCTCTAACTAACCAATCTGAGATCCAACTCTTACAAATGATAGCTAGGAAGCTGAAGGAATAATTTGAGAGGGATAGGAGGAATTTTTTTCATCTACAACGCCTACTGGAGAACCAGGAGGAGGAGCGGGGACATGGTTCAATTCATTATTTACTAGATACTCTCCTTGAATTTAAACATACCATTGTCGCCCATAGAAAAAGCCCATCGGGTTCCCGGAGGCAGAAGCAGAACCAGGGAAGCCCCAAGAGAAGTGGTAATTCTTTTTGAACAGAATAGACTCAAAGACTCAATTTTCAGAGCACTAAAGAATGTTAGAAATCTAAAATATGGCGAAGCCACCGCTGAAATATTTCAGGATAACAGCCCAGCCACACTGTGGTGGCAGAGGGCTCTCCAGCCTTATACATCGGCTCTAAAAGAAGTGGGCATAGCATATTGCTGGGGCTTCCCTATTAAGTTGATAGTCCGGCTAAAAAGCAGAACCTGGGTTGCAAGTGATAACCAGCAGACTGGCAACATACTTAAAGAGCTCCTGCTCCAAGCAGGAGATATCGCTCCTCAGCTCAAGCGCACAAGAGCACCTTCTCAGGCTGGACAACCAAAAAAGGGCAGAAAGAAATAAGGCAACTCCAATTAGAAAGTAAGAAATTGTTTTGTTTTGTTTATTTATTTTCATGCATGAAAAGCATCTGGACTCCACTCTAACAAGCAAAACAGTAATTTGGAAGAGCCTTTGTCCTTGGGCATTAGGAGGTGTGCAGCTTAGCAACAAGCCCCCGCCTGCCCCCCTAACTGATCCTGGGTACCATGGGAAGGATCTCCACCACTCCCACGTTCCTGTTGGCAAGCAGGGAAGCACACTCTAGCATTTGTGTATGTAGTTTTCAGTTTATGTCCTTTGATTTTCAAGTTATAGAAGTCTAGCAGAAAAACCGAGTTTCTTGAAAAATTCCATCTTTAATAGAGCAGGAACTGCATACTTAGCATTTAACTCTCTGCTATCCACATTTCTACCAACATTACTTTGATTCCTCAAAGCCAAACTACGTATAAAGCTTCTCTCCTTCAACGTTAGAGGACTAGGATCACCAGTCAAAAGAGCCAGAGTGGAGGAGAGCCCAGCAGAGGGAACATCCAGACATTGTTCTCCTGCAGGAGACGCATCAGTGCAGGAACCAGAGGGCTGCCTTGCTGGATAGGCGAGCAACTACAAGACCCTGGGCTCTGGGAAAGCAAGCACTGCCCTCTGAGTGTTGAGGAAAGTTGGGAAGAAACCGACAGGCAGATACCTCTTTGTTCAAGGTGTCATAGGCAGCCATGAAATCACCATTGCTTATTTTTATGCACCCAACTCAGCACAAGAAGACTTTCTCCGGAAGATGCTAACATAATTAGACCATTTAAAAAGAGGACAAACCATAACAGGCAGAGACTTTAATTGCTGCAGCAATGACACAAAGGACCGAAGTAGGCACTGATCTGTGAACAAAATCTGCAAACCCATTCTAGGTGGAAATATTAACTGAAAGGGACCTTGTGGACCCCTGGAGACACTACAGCTAGAAGGTAGGGAATTCTCATGTTTTCCCCAGAAGTCAATGTCACACATAGACCTAATATTAGTACCTAAACCAATCCATTTCTTGGGAATAAATCCTAGGGGTAACTAAGAATTTAAAATCTGGAAAGTCCTCAGGACTGGACGATTTTACAGGAGAGTTTTATAAAGCATTTCGCAGTGAGCTTGCCCCATGGCTGACCAAACTGTACAACTAGAAGGGGGTGGGGGTGGGGAGCGTCACAAAAATGGTGTTCTTCAAAACTAATGCTACTTTGAGTCATATAGTTCTCATTAATGTAGACACGAAGTTGTTCACATCAATAATGGTCAAGCATCTAAATATGTTTATAACTCAGTACATATCTCCAAACAGGGTTCATGCTGGCCAGAAGAGAAGCATCACAAGTTTCATTAGAAGGACACTAAATGTTATACATGAACTGAATAGAGCTGAAAAATCTCTCTTGATGCCAAAAGACTTTTGTTAGAACTGATTCATTGTTTCTGATACACCTGCTAACCGAATTGAAATTTGGATCTAAGTCCTTGCACCTCATTAAGCAATTATACTCCAAATCAAAACCAATCATTTCAATCAATGGCTTCGACTCTCAGGCTATCGAGCTCTTAAGGGACACCCGACACTCTGCTGCCATTGCTGTTTGCATTGATCATAGAGGTATTAGCCATTCAACTGCACAAAGACACTTTTATAGAGAGAATGAGGTACACAAAATGAATATGTTTGCAGATGACACCCTCTTAATTCTGCAAAATCCACTTAAGTGGCAGTTAGAAATGTATCACAGGGTAGCAGGATTGTAAATCAACTATTGTAAATCCCTGCTCCCTCCTATCAATTTAGACTGGTTGCTAGTTAACTCTCCATTTGCCATAGCACATGGAGGATTTAAATACCATATTTTTTGCTCTATAAGACTCACTTTTTCCCTCCTAAAAAGTAAGGGGAAATGCGTGTGCGTCTTATGGAGCGAATGCAGGCTGCGCAGCTATCCCAGAAGCCAGAACAGCAAGAGGGATTGCTGCTTTCACTGCGCAGCGATCCCTCTTGCTGTTCTGGTTCTGAGATTCAGAATATTTTTTTCTTGTTTTCCTCCTCCAAAAACTAGGTGCGTCTTGTGGTCTGGTGCGTCTTATAGAGCAAAAAATACGGTACTTAACTGCAGACACAAGACAACTGAGACATAGAAGCTATAGGGGACTGTATAAAAAGAATTTAGGGAATGGAAATATCTTAGCCTTAGCTAGCTCAGGCAAATAGCTGTGGTCTAAATGTCATTGTTACCTAAATGCTTACACTCTCCCCCCCCTTCAAGTTTGCCTATTCTCATCCCTCCTCTTCATCTAAAGAGATGGCAAAAGAAACTCAATGCATTTGTGTTGGGAGGCAAAAAATCTAGGATAAGCAACAAAACTTTGTAGACATTGAACAAAAGGATGAGTGGAAATGCCTAACTTAATGTTCTGTTTTGCTGCTTTTCAAATCAAATCCTTGATCCCATTGCTCAGGGTAAGAACAGAAGACCCTTGGGTCCAACTTGAGATGGTCCCTTCCACACCTTCAATGAGAAGTCACCTTTTCTTACCTTTGTATATGCAGGAGGTAAGGAAAATAGACCATCCATTTACAAGATGAGTACTGATAGTGTGGAGAACATGGAGTGAAACACAGGGCCCTGACCCTCACCACTGGTCCCATTCCTCCTCGATCATCCAGCTTTCAGCCACACAGATAAATATCAACTGTTTAAGGATTGGGAAGATGTAGGCATTTATATAATCCATGACCTGCTTCACAGAGGGAAAGCAATATCCAAAAAGAAACTGCAAGTTAAATTAAAAGGCATATGTACTACAGTACCTGGTTTGAGGCTCATTCTTTTGCACCTTGTTTAGAGAGCAGGGGAGAGGACTTATGCACACTTACCTTGTTTGAATCCTTCTACAGCAAGTCAGCATATGACCTGATGGGTGCTGCTTCCCTAATATAAAGCAATCTGTAATGTCATAAAACAGGAGATGCTAGAGGCCTTCAATTTTTTATGGGAATTAGGCCATCCAACTGAAGATCACAAATGGGAGGGTAGCTGGACACCCCTCTGCCTTGCTGCCGTAAAACCATCTCTGCTTGCTTACAGGAGGCCTTGCTCAAGGTCATTCTGCACTGACCCTGGATACCAGTCAGGCTTGCAAAAATTAATCCCTCCCTTTCCCTTTCATGTTGGAAGAGTTGTTGTGAACTGGGGTCATTTATTCATGTTTGGTGGGAATGTCTCCATTTAAAAAACTTTTGGAATAGAGTATTCTCCATTATAGCCACCATGATAAGCCAACCCTTTTCTCCAAATCCTGCCTTAGCCCTACGATCTTTGGACATAGACTTGGGCTCCATTCTCCACCACAGAGAACTGGACAGTTTCTTAATGACTGCAGAACAATTAGCGATAGCCCAGCAATGGAAGAACCAGACGGAAATATCCCTGAGCATATGGGGAAATAATATATGGAATATAGCAAAGTGTGAGGAGGGCAATTAAAGGCATATGCATAGAAACACCCTCCAACAAACACGGACCCCTTTCTTTAACTATGTTAACAACCAAAAATATACCAACCACTCAATATTCTCAGTCAAGGGGTTATGTTAAGTAAAATGTTTGAGCACTGAGTGTGTAAGCTTACGTCTAAAGTCAATGGATAGAATGAACATTATTAGATGTAATGCTGGGTACTTGTATCTAGTATTTCTATTTATTTAAAAACAAAAAAAGTTAGTTAAAAATCAAAAAAATGTTTATAAAAGGCTATTAATGGGTTATTGATATATTTTTCTGGTTTGATGTTTTATTATTGATGCCCTGGGTTTGTTTGTTGGGTTTTTATTTTTTTATATAATATTTTGATCTTGTGGTGTGAGTCAGCATGCGGATTGTTTCATATACCGTATATATGAAGCTCTGGATTTGTTAGCCACCTTGAGTCATGTCTGAGAATTAGGCAGGATAAAAACCGATAAAAGTCAGTGGGAACTAGCAGCTTGGAGGCTTCCCAGAGATGTCTGGCTGGCCATTCTTAGGATCTTGAGCATCAGGTAGATCAACAATGCTTAACCTTTCCAGATCCAGAGCCTTCTTTTAACCCAAATATGCATCTGGGACCCATTTCTAAATCTTTCAACCTATATTTGCATAGCAGTAGTGCTCCTGTTGTGACCCACCTTGGATCTGGAAGCACCGGTTGAAGACCAGTGCCCTAGATAGACGACAGCTTTGTCCCTACACAACACTTCTTAATGTTGTACAAATGAACTTTTCAGACAATGCCTAACAGGCTCTCTTTCCATCCTCTGCTGATCTTTGGGCTAATCTGTCTTTTGAAAGGAATCTCAACTCCCCTGTTTAACATGCTTCACAATCTGATTTTATTCACTCAATGAGCCACTGACTTATTCTATTTGGCATGATCAGTTTGCTTTGAATGGGTCGATTCTCTTGAGGAAAAAAAAAGGTGGAGCTGTTTTCAAGTGAAGATTTGGGGGCACCTTTCAAGGAGTGTGGGGTTTCTGCCCCTCCTTCCTTTCCTCGCCTTGGAAATGTGCAGATTGAGTCAGAGACTCCAGCTTTGGCAAAACTGTTGAATCCAGAGCACGTACCCAGGCAAAGGTGTGCTCACTCCGCACCCTCCCTCCCCTTCCTCTGTTGCCGCCTCTGCTGCAGTCCACAGAATTGCTTACCCAAAAAGGCAATCAAAGAGGACGCCACAGGTTCATGTGTTTTCCCTGCACAGTGGTGCAATGCACAACCCTTAAAAAGCCAGCATCGTTTTGAGAAGGCTCAGAGAGCAGGCAGCGTCTTTCCAAAGAATGCATGGCAGGTTGCTGGTCCTGCTGGATTGGATTGGCAGTCTGTTGCAGCCCGGGGGTGGTGGGCAACAACTAGTGGCCCCCAGAGCCTAATCCCATGGGGTGCCAGTTGGTCGCTCTGCTAACCCAGAATTTCAAAAGTGACCTGGAGGGAAAATAAGAAGCTGCCCTGTACTTAGTCCGGCCCTTAAGAACATAAGGAGAGCCTGCTGGCTAAAGGAGTGCATCTGGTCTAGCATACTGTTCTCAGAGTGGCCAGCTAGATACCCCAAAGGGAAACCCTCTAGCAGGACTTGAGCACAAGAGGACTCTCCCCTCCTGTGGCTTCCAGCAACTGGTATGCAGAAGCATTCCTGTTCTGACTGTGAAGGAAGAGCATGGCCATCGTGGCTAGTAGCCTTCTCCTCCATGATTTTTTCTAATTATTACTTTCATTTAAAAATAAATTAAGAAACCAATCCTCCTGAATAGGAGATGCTGGGGATTGAACATTGGACCTTCTGCATGCTCTACCTTTGGGGAGAAGAGCTATGCTGCAATGCTGTGTTTTAAACGCCACATTACTTTGATAGAAGGGTTGGTTTGTTGTTGACTGTTGTAAAACACACTTTGGTGAAAAGTGGCCTATACCTACTGGAAAGGAATGTGTAAAATAAATACAGTGGTACCTCGGGTTACAAACGCTTCAGGTTACAGACTCCGCTAACCTGGAAGTAGTACCTCTGGTTAAGAACTTTACCTCAGGATAAGAACAGAAATCGTGCGGCGGCAGCGGGAGGCCCCATTAGCTAAAGTGGTACCTCAGGTTAAGAACAGTTTCAGGTTAAGAACGGACCTCTGGAACGAATTAAGTTCTTAACCTGAGGTACCACTGTACTGGTTTTGCTTTCCCAGCAAACCAGCTTCCCACCAGAGGTTATGGATAACCTATCATTCGGCTTCCTCTGTTAGAGGCAGCCAGCCACTGAATGGCATTTGCTGGGAATCACAAGTGGGTTCAGTCCCAAGGACAGAAATTTAGGTTATCAAATGTGGCAGTGGCTAGCTGGAAAGGGAACAGCATCAAAAGTGTGGTGGAAGCCAGGTGGAGTGTGGTGCTGACATTTTGGCACTGGGGGTGGAGAATCTTAACTCATCAGCACCCCCAGTGTGGTAATATAATGATAATATTAACCACTCCAGTTAGAGCTGGGAGAAATTCCTGCCTGAAACTCTGGAGAGCTGATTCCTGCTTGTCACTGCAGACAGTATTGAGCTTGATGGATCCTGTGGTGTGATTTGATTTAAGGCCACTCCCTGCAGTTATCATGATACATTGTCAATCTTGACTCAGAAACTTCTGACTGCTGGTTCCATTTCCCAAAACCTGCTGAGTCCTTTTTCTTCAATATTTAATGGCATCTGAAGAGATTTTAATTGCGAATTAGCGTAACTTTCTGTTGCTGTCCCTGGGGGTGGGTGAGTGAGATGAGTCTGCTCTAAGGCCTTTTGTTAGGGTGTTGGGAGTGGCGAGACTGGTTGCTGCATTCTTAGGAAGCAAGCCTAAAAATAAAATAAAGATTCCAGCAGACCTGGGAACTTACTTTCAAATTTGCCAGCCCTGGACTTGGTTTTGGAAGGCTTTGTAGCATCCTGCTTCCCCTGCCAGAGGTAAGATGCCTCGGAATACCAGTTATTGCAAATTATTATCATTCACCTTTAAAAATCAACAGCAGCAACATCAGGTTGTAGTCCACTAAGGCACCATCTGCAGCATACTTTTAAAGCAGAACCATGTCATTTTAAACACCCATGGCTTCCCCGAAAGAATCCTGGGAATTGCAGTTTGCTGTTAGGGGCCAAGAGTTGTTAGGAGGCTCACACTTTACCCATCACAGAGCTACAATTCCCAGAGTTCCCTGAGAAGAAGGATTGCTAACCCACTCTGGGAGTTGTAGTTCTGTGAGGGGAAGAGTGGGGGTTTCCTAACAACTCTTGGCATGTAACAGCAAACTACAATTCCCAGGATCCTTTGGGAGAAGCCACAGCTGCCTAATAGCCCACTGACTCTAGAAATGCATGGGTGTCATGCCTTCCGTCTCAGAATAAGCAGCACTTCCACCCACGCTTCCTGGGTGCTGGGAGAGCAGTGAGGAATCTGGAGCAGATTTTTTTTTTTAGTTCTGTGTTTTTTGTCTTGACCACCCAGCCTTGTATCTTGACAGCTCGGCCTGGTGTCCATGAGGGAGCAGAAATTCTGCATAGGTGAGTGAGCTGGGTGGTGGAAAGGGAGAGTGGATCTTCCGCGCCTGCTCGGCTGAAGCAAATTTTTAAAATGTTGCTAGCCTTTGAAGAGACCATCTCCTCTGATTCAGATGGCACAGATGCCAGCGCCAGGGCTGAAGATACGTAGGCATTGTTTTAATAAGCTCAGGAGTGTCAGGGATTTCTTTATTCTCCAGCTCCCCGCACACAATAGGTTCCACCCCGTCAATGCCGCCTTTCCCCTCGCTGTCGTGTGACACTGGCCTAGCAACAAATCAGTGCTGGAAGGAAGCCAGCTGCAAATCCCCTTTGGGAACAAATTTCTGAAAGTCGGCATCTCATATTTAAGCCTGGCGAGGAGGGAGGGTGGGGACGAGAAATTTCTGGCCTATTTCCCAATGAGGTGTTTAGTGGAGAGCAAGGAAGCATTTTACCGCACTCCTGACGGCTGCCAACCTCCCTGGCCTCATGCCAGGAGAGGGTGGGGCCCAAATGGGAGTGGGTGGGATCAGAGTGGGAAGTGGGAGGAGTCACCCTGTCTCTCTCATTCACACGCACACATATGTGAGCTGGTAGTGGTGTAATGGTTAGAGTGCTGGACTAGAGTCTGGGAGACGGGTTTGAATCAGGTAATGGAGCTTTCTGTATGGGTCACAGTCACTCTTTCAGCCTGACCTACCTCACAGGGTTATTGTGGGGATTAAATGAGGACCAGGACGAGGGTTCAAATCCCCCAATCAACCATGAACTCACTAGGTGATTCTGGGCCAGTTGCTACCTCTCAGCCTGACCTACTGGGCAGACTTATTGCGGGGTTTAAATGAGAACCAGGTCCTGGGAGAGACCAGGGTTCAAATCCTCCATGTGGTCATGAAGCTCATTGGGTGACCTTGGTCCTGTCACTACCTCTGAATCTAGCCTATTTCATAGGGATTAAATGAAGAAGAGTACAACTATGTATGCTACCTTGAGCTCCTTAGGGAAAAAGTTGGGATAGAAATGCAATAAATGAACATTGGTGTCAAACACATATTCAACACACACTTACCGTTGTTGTTTAACAACTGCTTTTATATTTATAGGGTTTTTGTGTGTGTTTGCATATAGTTTTAGGTTTTTATTTATTCATTTATTAAATTTGTGCCTCGCCTTTCCTCCCAAAAGGGACCCAAGGCATTAAGCAGCAAAATGTTAAAACAGCACAATTTAAAATTAGATTTAAAACACATTTAAAGTGTTTAGAAACCATTTAAAACAATCTAAAGCTTTTTTAAAAAGTTTAAAACCTCTAAATACATTGAGAAGCCATTGCAATATACAAAAAGCAGGCAGCCTGCATCTAGAGACCTAGTGTGTAAGGGAGAAGGCTATGCTTGGTTCTGTTATCCCGACATGCAGGGATTTTGTTGTTGCTGTATGGAGCAGCATGCACCTGTGGACTGTAACTGAAGCCCAGGTGTAGCCTCAACGAAATGTAGACTTGAATGAGTTACATACTTATTTTTTGCACTTTTAATGTTTAACTTGAATTGCTGGAATTTTGATGGGGCAGGAAATCACTGAACCAAAAAGCATTAAAAAGAAAGAAAGCTAAGAGCACCAGGATCTCAGTTCTCAAGTAATAATCAGTTTCAGAATTATGAATTTATAAAGGTTTTTTTGGGTGAGAAATACCTGTTTTATGGGTTTGCAAAGTTTTGTGGAGGTGGGTGTTTGTGTATGTGGAGCTAACATCTGACATGAAGTTGATAAAGGTCTGCTGGACTTACTTGGTGTCCCCAGGATACAGATGCAGGAAACCTGTGGATTGCTTTTGAACAGAGAAGCTTTTGCACGATTCATTTCCAAAAGCCTGGGCCTGAAAATGCAATGTTTTCAGTTCAGCAAAATCCGCATCCTGCAAATATGCTATGAAATTTGCCGCGGATCCTCATTGAGCTTTTCTGCAAGATCGTAGTGGGAGATATGAACAGGGATGGCTCCAGCACTTGGAAGCTTGTGGCGACTGCCAAGGACCCCGAGCCCTGGTAGGCCCCACTGCTGATCCTTTATCTGGGCCTCACTGGATGTTCCACCAAGAAACCATTTCCATTTCCTACAACACTCCCAGCTTAGCTTCACTCTGATGCATTGTGGGGAATTTTAAAGATGAGCTCCTCCTTCTTCATAGCCCTGCCTGTGCTGATTGTTGAGACCTAACCTGGAAGGAGCAGCCGCCACTCACGGGATTGCTCCCCCACTCTACCTCTGCCATTTAAAGTAAAGGTAAAGGGACCCCTGACCATTAGGTCTAGTCGTGACCGACTCTGGGGTTGTGGCGCTCATCTCACTTTATTGGCCAAGGGAGCCGCTGTACAGCTTCCAGGTCATGTGGCCAGCATGACTAAGCTGCTCCTGGCGAACCAGAGCAGCACACGAAAACGCCATTTACCATTCCGCTGGAGCGGTACTTATTTATCTACTTGCACTTTGACGTGCTTTCGAACTGCTAGGTTGACAGGAGCAGGGACCGAGCAATGGGAGCTCACCCCATCACGGGGATTCGAACCTCCGACCTTCTGATCGGCAAGTCCTAGGCTCTGTGGTTTAACCCACAGTGCCACCTGTGTCCCATTTAAAGTAGTACAGTCCAGACATGGATTTACAGCCTCAGTGAGAATGACAGGCAGGGCTGTCAGTGGATGAGGATTATTTTCCGGCACTGACAATTTCTGTGACCAGTGGTGGAGCTTCATGCTCCGGCGCCAGGGGCGGGGCTGGTGCACGTCCTGGGGGGGCGGGGCGCGCTGCCCGCAGGGGCGTGGTGCAAGTCCTGGGGGTGGGGCGCCCACCGTGGGCTGGGTGGCAGCTGCGATGGAAGGTGCGCTCCCCTTGCCCACCTCTTCCTCCGCCAATGTCTGTGACTGATCATGGTGTAGGAGACTGGCATTCTAAGAGAAAGCACACACGGTAGTCAAAACTCTGATGAGGATTTAAATCAGGGATGGGAATAGTCCAGACCAGGCTCTAGATGTGGCCCTCAGTTCCTCTCTACCTGACTCTCTGCAGGCCACACCCCTTCTCTCCACAGGCCATACCTGTTGCCTCTAAATAGAAGAGGCATTCCTCCTGAGAGAAGGGAGAATGCCTCTTCTTAGATCAGCTTCCCCACGGCTGATCATAGCATAATAGAATTGTAGAGTTGAAAGGGACCTAAAGGGTATTATAGTCCAACCCTCTGCAATGCAAAGAGGAGGCATTACCTTCTCAAGAGTTGGATGAATGAAAGAGATGGAAGACTGCTTCTATTTAGGAGAGGCATTCCCATGTGAGAAAGGATAATTCCTCTTCTTGATTCACTGCTCTGGAACATGTGGCCCTCCAGATGTTGTAGGACTCCAGTTCTCATCAGCCTGAGCCCCCTGCCCAGCCAGTATTCTCAGATGGGGAGGGTTGTATTCCAACAGCATCAAGAAGGCCGGTCAACTGCCCCTGCTCTCTTTGAAAGTGTGTCATCAGTTTTATTTATTTTTACCGCTGAAGGGAGGAAGCATGCACCAGTTCAGTTCTTTCAAAGCCAGCTCTTTATGCAAGCAAAACTACTTGACAAAACAAACAAAACAAAACAAAACTGACCATTACAGCCCTCCACATTACATGTTCTTTGCCCCCACATTCCTGCATTCTTTCACCATCTGCTAGAAGCTTAAGTTATGATAATTGAGCATTGCCGGTTTTTAATTTTTACTTTTGCCCTGCTTGTGAAGGAAGTGTAAATGCTACTGACGGGAGTGCGGTGCTGGTGGGTGGGCAGAGAAGTGTGAAATGTGCTTGCATTCAGCTGCGATGGCGCATTTTGTGTGAATGGGGAGAGAGTTGAGTGAGAGAGAGAACAGTTGGATGGCATTGCTATGGTGGCTGCCAAGAGCTGTCAGCATGACAACCACATAGATCTGCTAGTGCAAAGCAGATTACTATGTACCTATTGAATCCAGCCCTTACTCTATAAGGACTAGAATCTTAGGTCAGCAGCAGAGTATCTGACTGACATGCAGAATCTCCTGGGTTCAGTCCCTGTCGGTATGGATAGTAATGAGTTTGATGGACCAATATCTCTGATTCAGTATAAGGAAGATTTCTTTGTTCCTGGGCTCAATCCCCAATGACATTTCTAGGTAGGGCTGGGAGAGATCCCTGCCTGAAACTATGGAAATCTGCTTTTGCCAGTCAGTGTACATAACACTGAGCTAAATGGACCAATGCTGTGACTCAGCACAAGCCAGCTTCTCGTGTTCCTAAACACTGCTGGAACTCAATTATCAGGTGTCCCTGGCAGAGGAAGTGCATGGTTCTCCTGCCTCCCCATTCACTAGTGTGATGAGCGTGGTCACTGCGGCGTGGCTGCCTCTGCTGCAGAAAACCCTCTTTCCCGCTAGGCATGTGTGTGTCAATCCATCACTCGGCTAATGCTCCTTTTGTCCTTCCAGCCTTTGCTAACATGCTCAAGCCAGCTCCTTCCTGCATCTATCTCCCAAAGCCGCGCAGATTAAAAAAACACCACCGTCCTGCACAATCTCTCTCTTTCTCTTTCTCTCTTCCTTGTCAAGTAATGAATAAATATTGATTTATTTCAGGTTAATTAAAACCCCTCCTGGAAGAATAATCCAGTCCTACGTGCTTTTAAGACTTAGAGATAGCAAGGGAAATATATATTGATTAATTTCTCTTAATCTTTGTTATTTTCTTTTTCTTGCCAATTGACACAAAATGGAAATTTATTGTCAGGGAATGAGTCGAGAGGTTTAAGCCAAGTTAATCAAGGGTCAGGAAACCAAACCTTATGAGAAACAGTTGAAGGAGCTGGGTATGTTTAGCCTGGTGAAGAAGAGGCTGAGAGGAGATATGATGGCCATCTTCAAATATCTAAAGGGTGGTCACATGGAAGATGGAGCAAGGTTGTTTTCTCCTGCTCCAGAGGGTAGGTCCCAAACCAATGGCTTCAAGTTGCAAGAAAGCAGATTATGACTAAACATCAGGAAGAACTTTCTGACAGTAAGAGCCGTTCAACAGCAGAACAGACTCCTTGGGAGGTGATGGACTCTCCTTCCTTGGAGGTTTTTAAGTAGAGGCTGGATAGCCACCTGTCATGGATGCTTTAGTTGAGACTCCTGCATTGCAGGGGGTTAGATTAGATGACCCTTGACAGATTGATGAAGTATGAAAAAGCATATTAGAATGATAAGGGTATTAGAATAGGCTGAGGGATCAGGCTAGAGGGAGCCCAGCTAGTCCAGCATCATGTTCTCACAGTGGCCAGACAGGTGCCCATTATGAGAAGCCCACAAACAGGACATGAGAGCAAGAGCTTTCTGTCTGCTTGTGAGTCCCAGCAACTGGTATTCAGGGGCATATTGCAGCCACTGTCATAGATAGTCTTATCCTCCACAAATTTGTCTAATCCTCTTTTAAAGCCATTGAAGTCAGTGCTCTAACCACTGCATCATCACTGCCTCTTGCGGCAGGGAATTCCACAGTTTCACTGCCAATCAGTGTGAACAGTGAGATCATGGGCTAAGGTAATAATGGTGATGTGCCCTCCTTGCTCCAGCAAGTGAAACAGGCAATAATGACTAGGAGAGAGAGTTTGCCTATTGGAATGGATATGTTCAGATTCGGGACTGAGGCCACTTCTCTGTAGGAGAATGCAATGTCAGTTATCTTGGCTCTGATCATCAGCAGTAATGTGTGATTGAAAACAAGGTGTGTGTTTAGGGGGGGAGAATATAAGCTTGATTCGCCCCTTGAGGGATTTCAGTTACAAACATTGAAAGTTCCTTATCCTGAATCAGACCATTGTGCCATCTAGCTCAGGGTTGTTCACACTGCAGCTCTCCAGAGTGGGTTCATTTGGGAAAGGGCTTTAGCTCAGCTATAGGATATCTGCTTTGCCTGCAGAAGGTCCCAGGTTCAGTTCCTGGCATCTCTAGGTAGGACTGGGACAGAATCCCACCTAATACCCTTGAGAGCCGCTGTTAGTCAGTGTAGACAATACTGAGCTGGATGGTCTGACTAGATATAAGGCAGCTTCCCATTTAAATCAGCCCTTTATTTCAGAACCATGAAATTATTGTTAGGAGAAGGGCTAAGTGGTAGAGCACCTGCTTTTCATGCAGAAGTTACCAAGTCCAATCCTAGCATCTCTAGGTAAGGCTGGAAAGACTCCCTGCCTGAAACTCTGGAGATCTGCTGCCAGTCAGTGTAGACAATACTGAACTGAATGGACCATTGGTCTGACTCAATAAGGCAGGTCTCTATCCTCTAAAACAGTGTTTCCCAACCGGTGTTCCGTGGCACACTAGTGTGCCGCGAGACGTTGCCTGGTGTGCCGTGGGAGGAGGGAGGCGGGCGAGTCGGGCGGCGAGAGGTGGGGCGGCGGCGAGGATCCGCGTCGAGCCGGGGGCGGCTCCGCGGTGGTGGTGCCGAGGTTTCTCTCTCCATTCTCCCCTCACACACACACACAGGAAATAACACAGGATCAGCTGACAGGACCCGGCCAATGGGGCGGCGGCGGGGCAGCGCGCGCAAAAGGGAGGAGCGCGAGACCGCGGACGAGGAGGAGGCCGGCATGTCCGGGCAGCAGCAGCAACAACAGCAGCAGCAACTCCCGGCGACGGCTCCTCAAGCCCCGGGCAACCCTACTCCCTCACCGGCCTCGGCCGCCCTCCTGCTCCACCCGCCGCCGCCTCCCCCGCCGCCGCCGGCCACCTCGGCCCCGCCGCCGCCCCCTCCTCCGCCCGCTATCGACGCCACCACCATAACAGCCGCCACCGCCTCAGCTGGGCCCATGCCTGCCGGGAGCGGCGGCGGCAGCAGCAGCAGCAGCGCCCCGGCGCCCTTCCCTCACGGCGGCGACCCGGCCCTGAACGAGCAGGAGAAGGAGCTCAAGCGGCGCCTCAAGCGGCTCTACCCGGCCGTGGACGAGCAGGAGACGCCGCTGCCGCGCTCCTGGAGCCCGAAGGACAAATTCAGCTACATCGGCCTCTCGCAGAACAACCTGCGCGTCCACTACAAAGGTAGAGGGACGGAGGGAGGGCGAGGCCGAGGCCACCGCCATCCCCAGGCCCCCTCCGCCTCTTCCTCCGAAAGGCAGGCTGAGAAACTCCCAGGGAAGCTCTGAACGTCTCCCCCGAAACCGTCGGGAGGCTTCGGTTGTTGCCTTTCTCCGCCGAGGTCGGTGGACCCCGAGCCTAGGCTTCCTTCCCGCACCCCGCTTTCCGAAGACCGCACACCAGTTGGGCCAGTACATATTCCCCTCCCGTGACTGGAGCGGAATAGCCCTTTCTCTTCTTCCCCAACCCTTGTCGTTGGAGGAGTCCCTCAGTCCCTCGCTTTGCTGCCTCCTCCCCCCCCACCCCCAAAGCTTGGAGGTTCCCCGGCAAGGGGGAGGGGAAAAAATTGAAACTTACACTTTCGTGCGTCCCTCCCGGCGTGACGCTGCGCGCTGACGTCACGGGGCTGTAATGGTGGTGTGCCTCGAGATTTTTTTCATCAAACAAATGTGCCTTTGCCCAAAAAAGGTTGGGAAACACTGCTCTAAAATGCCCATCTCTGCCATTTGCAGATTCTCAAGCTAATTTTCTATTGGCTTTCCTTTCCCTGACCACAGCCACCCACCTGTTGCATCCTATTCCATATAGGTTGCTCATTTTCAACATCAGGGTTTCTTCTGAGCTGTTTCTGGGCTGCCTCTCGCTTCCTGCCACGGATACCTTTATTGGACTTGCTCCATCAATGCCTGTCAAGACAGCAATGAGCTAATGAGGTTCAGGGAGAAGACTTTACAGGTCTGAAGCTGTAATAAAGGCATCATTGAGGTTGCAGTGTACAATTGCCTCCATAAAGAGGTGATTAGAAGGAAGCAGGAAGAACCAAGAGGGGCGGAAGGAGGTCAGAAACGAACTTGAATGTAGGAAGCTGGTTTATACCCAGACAGATCGTTGATCTATCTAGAGAGAACTGAGGGGCCGCAGGACAAATGAGGCCTATAAAACCTCTCTCACTGGCCCTCAGGGCCTTCTCAAGGCTGCACTACTTATCCAGGCCACATCCCCTCAAATAATGGATCATCCCTCCCAGAGAGGTACGCTGTGCCTAAACTCAGAGGCACAATATACAGTGGTACCTCGGGTTACATACGCTTCAGGTTACAGATGCTTCAGGTTACAGACTCTGCTTGCCCAGAAATAGTACCTCGGGTTAAGAACTTTGCTTCAGGATGAGAACAGAAATTGTGCAGCGGCAGCGGGAGGCCCCATTAGCTAAAGTGGTACCTCAGGTTAAGAACAGTTTCAAGTTAAGAACGGATCTCCAGAACAAATTAAGTTCTTAACCTGAGGTACCACTGTAACCAGTGCAGAATTCTCTGGTGGTGTTGATGATTTATTGCATTTATGTCCCACTTTTTCCTCCAAGATGTTCAATGTGGTGTACATGGTACTCTCCCTCCTCATTTAATCCCCATTCCACCCCTGTGAAGTATGTTATAGGCTGAGAGGCAATGGTTGTGACCCAATACCACACCTAGTGAGCGTCATAGCCAAGTGGGGATTTGAACCCTGACTTCCTAACCCAACAATCAAATCACTCTGCCCCAGTGGCTTTGTCTTCTCTCCTTTGAAAGCAGACATGGGGCCATGGGCGTAGCCAGGATTTTTGTTAGGGGGACAGGACTTTTGTTAGGAGGGGCAAAACCGATGTGATTGGTCAGTTAGTTAAGCATTTCTATTGTTTTACTTGATCTAGGGCGGCAGCTCCCCCCCCCCCCGGCACATGTTTGAAGCTATCTTCCTGTATTTTCTACCTAAGGGTATTCTGCCTCTATTCCCCTTGCTTGGATAAATGCATGAATTTGACCTTTGGAAGGTTTTGTAAGTAAAGCATTTTAAACTTATTTAACAGTGTGTGGTCTGTTCATTGCAAGAGGGGTAGAAAGAGAGGTGCACTGTTTGCAAGTGAACTATAGGTAAAAGGGTCTAACAATCTATATTCCTAGTACTATACTCCTTGACTTTTCTATATTTAAACTCTCCTATTGGGGGCTCTGTCATGTTGATCATTAAAAGACTGAAGGTAGAACAAGAAGCATGTTCTAATTGTGTGAACCAGTAAAGTTTTAAATGATCAAGGGAGTTCTGAATGCTAAGATGATGATGATGATCTGTTTTCCCAATGAAAGTGCTTCCTTTAAATCAAAAGTATTTTTTCTACCTCACATTTCATGTGTGAGAAAGGAATGTGGTTTGATAAGAGAAAATGCTGTGAAGATCTTAAGGTGGAGATTGAAGTTATTAAGGTGGAGACTGTGAAGATTTTAAGATGGATACTGAATTGTTGATAAGATAAAGAATATTCCATATGGCAAATACATTGTTGGACATTCTATTGACTGTTGGCATTCTTCAGCAATTGTCTGATGACCAAATAAAAGAGATTAGAGCTCTAAGATTGATGAAATTGTGAATGAAAGCAAATCAGAGAAGGATGAAATGGAAAGTGGAATTAAAGAGAACACAGAAGGGTTGCCAGAAAAGGAGAGTGAAATGGTAGAGTTGGAAGCAAAAGATGGTGAAATGGAGACATCCTTCACAAAGGTGATTAGAGGAATGAAACATCCAAATAGCAAAGTTGTGGAGGAGTAGTATGAAGGTATGGATGGACAGATTATTATTATTATTAATAATAATAATAATAATAATAATAATTAATAATAATAATTTTTATTTATACCTCGCCCTCCCCAGCCAAGGCCAGGCTCAGGGTGGCTAATAAGCAATAATAAAAACAAGTTGAATGAATACAACTTAAAAACAAGATTAAAATACATTAAAATATTGAAACATTAAAATGCAGCCTCATCACAGGAAGAGAAAGGAAAAAGAAAGAGGGGGAGGGAATCAAATTGGCTCCAAGCCAAAGGCCAGGTGGAACAACTCTGTCTTACAGGCCCTGCGGAAAGAAATCAGATCCTGCGGGGCCCTGGTCTCATGAGGCAGAGTGTTCCACCAGGCCAGAACCAGTGTTGAGAAGGCCCTGGTTCTGGTTGAGGCCAATCTAACTTCCTTAGGGCCCGGGACCACTAGGGTGTTGCTATTTATGGACCTTAACGTCCTCCGTGGGGCATACCAGGAGAGGCGGTCCCGTAGGTATGAGGGTCCTAAGCTTAAGAGAAGGGATTAAGAGACATCCTGAGCTGGCAGAGATAGAGTTGAGAGAGAGAAAGGACTCTGTATGCAGTTTGAACTTAGAGAAAAAAGCTATCAAACCTCTAGCGCTTTTCTTGGAATAGGAATGGCTGTAAAGAGTAAATAGAAGCAATATTTTTTTCAAAATCAAGATAGAAAACCACAGGAGTTATAACAGTCAATAGGAACAGATGATGTGAAACTGGGTGTGAACTAATGAGTAAAAAAAATTATGGAATACTGTTTTCATATATGATCACAGTGGAGAGACTCTTGTGTGGACAAATACTTATTATTTAATATATGGAAGAATGTTGAGGTTACAGGAGACAAGGTTAATATTCTAAATTAGAGAAAAACTATTGCTGACATTTAATATTAATATTATTAATAATAATTAGATAATCCCTTTTGGACTTTTGTGTAAAAATGAAAATGAATTAATCTATTTTGGTCAGAAGATTGGGAAAATATTGTGTAACAGAAAGGAGATCAGGTGGGTGTCACTCTGGAGTCAATATTTTGAATAATTTCTTTTACATAACTGACAGTTAGAAAATAAAAAGTCCTTTTTATTTTTCTTCTCTACTTCTCTTTTCTTTCTTTTCTTGTTTTCCTTTGATGTTTTCTTTTCTCTTTGTTTTTAGTTAGATTAGTTTTTTATTTTATTGCATTATGAAAAAGCTTTAATAAAATCTCTTTTTCTTTAAGGTTCTAGCCTGCTAGCCAGCCAGCCACAGCCTCTTCCATATTACTCTATTTCGTTCCGACCCAACCCATCTTGTTTTTCTTTTCTAAATGACATTCAATGTTATTTGGCTGCTGAGCATTATCCTCATTAGACTGAGTTTTATTATATTGGGGGGAGGGGTTGCCTCTTAGATTTTATTGCTGTTGTAAAGATGTGTTGCTGATATCTCCCACTGTTCTTTTGCTCCGGAGCTCTTGACACTCACTGCTTGCCTTCAGCATTAGAAGAAGCAACAGCAGCACCGGCAGAATGTTCAAATTGGTGGTTACATTCAATGAGTGACTAATTTGTGTTCAAAAACATTTGAGATGCTCACTTTATTCACATGTAACATTCAGTGGAGTGTAGGGTCCATGTGCCTGTGTACCCAGGCAGTTGAGCTGTGCAAATCAACAAGTGGGCACTCTTTCACACAAACACTTGCATGAGTGTAGAGGCAGCTTGTACCATAAAGTGTGAGCAAGGCTTCAGTTGCTGATAAACAATGGTACTGTGCTTGAATCAAGTTTAAAGCAGTGAGTCAGAATGTATGAACTAGATTAAAACATTTAGGTAGTGAGAACTGAGAACTCAAAACTGCATTTTTCTTTGAATGACCAGTAAACACTCTCTCTCTTTCTCTCTTCTTTTTCCAGTTACAGAGAAGGAGGTCCAGCAGTGGTGAGTACTCAGAGCTATTCTGGAGTCTTGTGAGTTCACAAGCATGCACATTTGTGTTCGTGAGCACGAAAAAAGCGAAATGGGGAGTCTGCTGCTACCATTGCACAGGTGTGCATGTTATATGCTTGCCTGATGGTCTCTATAATTTCTTGTCTCATTTGTGGGATACAATTTCTGGAATGGAATGTAGCATCTGTAGGCCTGATAATTTGGGAGGAATGAAATCTTGACTGGGAAGAGGAACAAAGCAGGGGTGAGGAACTTCAAGCTTGGGGGCCAAATGCGGTCCTCCAGACCCCTCTCTCTGGCCCTTGGAACTCTCCCTAAGCCATTTCCCCTTCTTCTCAGGCCACACCCACTTTCCAGCCACACCCCTCATTGACTCAGCTTTGCACCCTGAGTGCTTTTGCCTGGCTGGAATGTGTCATTGAACTCTGATAGTGCTTCTTGCTTGCCTGGGGGGATATTATAGACACTGTGTGTGTGTGTGTGTGTGTGTGTGTGAGAGAGAGAGAGAGAGAGAGAGAGAGAGAAGAAAACAACAACAACAACAATTAGCCAACTATACAAAGGTAATTATTTTACATTCATTGCTCCAATTATTTTGCCTCTGACTCCTGCTGTGTTAGTTGTAAAGAAACATAGAACCATAGAACTGGAGAGCTGGAAACGTTCCCAAAGGTCATCAAGTCCACCCCCCTACAATGCAGAAATTTCACCTAAAGATTTCCTGACAGATGGCCTTCCAACATTTGTTTAAAAACTTACAATAAAGGAGATTCCATTATCTTCTGTCAAACAGCTCTCACTATCTGACAGTTCTGCCTAATGTATAGTCAGAAACCAAATGCAGTGAGAGACTATTATTATTATTTATTGAAAACTTTCAGTTAGAGAATAGAATAGAATAAAAAGAAAACCAAAATTAAAGAAAAAGCAAAAAAAATTGAAATTGTGATATATATAATTATGTAAGCAATATAGTTATTCCAACTAATGAAAAATTACTAACAATTTATTACAGTTTTTACATGTGCATTTTTATAACTGCATTACAAATATCATTTTATTTATTCATGCACAGTCTACATCTAAATGCAATCTGTTCGTATATTGCGAATGTTGTCAAATCTTCTATCAGTT